ATACATGTATAGTTTTCAGCACCATGGTACTAGAACAGAATAGTGTTACTGGCATGTTGATTACTAAAATTTTTGAGAGGAAAGCACACAGGAAAATTTCAAGTAACCTAAGTTTTTCCTGACACGTAGTCTAGTCTTTGAGAGCGAATAGACTATCTAATAGAATAATCCCATAGAAATCTGTACAAGTATATTCTCCAAGGCTGGCATGTAAAATGCTAGGTTAAACAATATAACACAAATTTACATATTGCAAGACTCTCAGAACATTTCCCAAATGTTTATTAAAGGAGAAAATGGATATAAGAGGCATAAAATATTTAATAAATTCCACTTGTTGTTATGAGACAAAAGTCTTTTTATCTACGACCCCTTCAAAACACTAGTTTTTGATGGGACAAGTATTCCTCAGAACACACTTTGGTAAACACTAAATATGATCCCATAAGGGTTAGCATTGGCTATTTTGCCCACTAGCTTCCATTTAGCACGTTGGAACTCAACATCATTTTGACTTCCCTTGAAAAAGGATATAGCTCCAGAGACTCATTCTGGACCCATTTGCAAATTCAGAGACTAAGAGCAAAAAAAAAAGGATTTATTATGAATAGGAGGTACTTTTTTCATTTTAGAGGAGGAATTCCTTCTATGAAGAAATTACTGTAATGGAAGGTACCCAAAAAATAAATCTTCTTAATTAAGATCAGAAGTGCTAAAGATTTCCTAGGTAGAATATTCCCAACATGATGATATGGTCAAGTCATGATTTTTAAGATGGAAACACAAAACCAGATTTGATTGGGCCAAGATAAAACTATAGTATGTCTTAGGACATAGTAGAAAGAGAATGATATAGTCTTATTAAATATACCACAAGTAAAAGAAAAATTGAGGGCGTCAATCAAAGTGCTTTGTAACTGAGCCTCTACCTATTTTTCCTTAAAAAAAAAAATTGTTTTGAGACAGGTTCTTACTACGTAGCCGAGGATGGTCTCAAACTCATGATCCTCCTGCCTTGGCTCCCAAGTGCTGGGATTATACCTGCACCACTCACCTGACTAACTTAATTTCTATTCTCTTTCATGCATTTATGCTCCAACTAACCTCCTAAATGATTCCATTAATCACACAATTCCCCATTTCTGTGTTTATGTTGTTGCCTCAATTAGTGATCAGCTTTCTTCCTTACACCATACTTATCAATTTTTATTTTTAAGTGGATGACCATGTTACCTGATCAAAAGCCTAAAGAACTAACCTTTATAAGCACACTTCAGTTTAGTAATATAGTTTTAAAACATATAGCAAAATCAATCCATGTTATTTCAGGATACATAGAAATTGTGATTGACTATAAATTTTAAGGAGGAAGCAGAAAACTCCTCTGACACTCCTTTCAAGGTTTTTCCTGTTCCACATCTCTAGCCAAAGTGTCCTAGAAGGTAAGAATCATTGACATCTTTTCAGGATACTCTTTTTTTTTTTCCAGCTCTTATCTCTACTAGATTGTTCTATCAGCTTGCTATCTTGAATCTTAAGACTCAATCTATTCATACATTCAAAAAGGAGAGTTTCCTTGATGGGAATCTGCCTGCTTCATTGGAAGCACATACACAAAGCTCATATGAGCTATGGAATTCCTCTCACTGAAGAGGAAAAAAGAAAACAAGTATCTAGATGCTTTGCAACAGCTCCTGTTCCTGCCAATTTCTCTCCCCATTCTTTAGAACTGAAGAGTCAATCAGGCCACAAACACAGTTCCTTCTGCCATCTTTTAGGATGAGATCTATATAGAATATGCTAAGTAGAGTCATGTAGTGGGAGGTAATCGCTGACCAAAAACACCTCCATAATACAACCTAATATCCATTAACTTGGGATTCATTTGAGTTAAAAAACAAACATAGTCCTGAACAAGATGGTTTTGAGGTAACTTTGTTATCAGGCTCTGCATTAAGAAAACAATCTGATTAACTTGATCCACTCAAAGGGAATGGGAGTTTGATTTGAGAGGAAGGGACAGGAAAAACAAAGGGTAGAAAATCTTCAAGATCATTATGGAACATGATGCATTTCTCAGGAAAAGTCCAAGGAGAGTCAGAAAGAATAAACAACCGAATGTGGGTGCTGGAATCCTGAAAGGCAGAGAATGAAAGCTAGCCAATTCAAGACACAGGAGCAAGGAAGAGCCATAGCACGAAAAGTGTGGTGAATAAGCTCCAAAGATTGAACTTGCCTATTTCCAAAGTCCTTACTTATTCCCAAAGGTTCAACCCAGTTCTCAATTTCTGTGGAACCATCCACAATGAGTTGGAATGCATCAGAACCTTGGTAGGAAGGTGTGACCAAATGAGGTTAGGAGTGGTAAATATAGAGCTAAAGCCAAGAAAGAGGTTTTAAAAATGGAGCCAAAAGAACTGGAATTCAAAATGGGATTCAGTTCATTAAAATGACAGGTTTTAGGGATTTTTATACTTTCCATTTTACGTTTTATTCAAAGTATTATGCTGGAAATTCTGAGTATGTCTAGGTCAAAGAAATGTATGTTTGGCAGTCACCATTCAGAATTCACCAAGCTCTAATAAAACTGCTTCACTTGAGCTCAGAAAATGAAAGCTGCAGTTAAGGCAGAATTTTGAAGAAAGAATGAAAGTGAGTTTCCCCATAAATATTTCCAAACTAGATCAGTACACTAATTATTTTCAAAAGTCCTCCAAGTCATGGGTAACACATGTGTTTAGAGGGAAAACACTCAACAGCAATGATGTTATCTCTACACCACCCATGTCTGCAACAATCACAGCTTGCTCCCCTTCAAGAGATGTCCTGTCCAGTGAGGGCTTGTCCTACAAAGCATATTATCTTTTCTCTCTTAGAGAGCCAGTGACATAAACCATCCAAGATACATAAGCCCCATCTGCTCATCTCTATTCTCCTCACCTTAATTTGAGAGCTTCTTCCCTTCTATGTACATAATTAATTCAATGTCTATCACTATCCCTCTATCTTCTTACACATAAAAATATATTTCTAATCATTTCCTATGGTGAATGGCCAATTCCACCTAGTTCACTCCCACTCCCCTCCCACAGATGTGCCAGTGACAGAGGCTCTGTGAGGTTGACCATTTACCTCTGACATTTGATTCTGCCAAATTTGGCACAAACTTTCTAATCTCACACTCCTCCAAAGAGACATAAAGAAGTTATTTCATATTCATGATTTATACAGATGAAATACTGTACACTTACATTATAATCAGTTTTCATTTCTCTCACATCATATGCATTCCCTCCCACAATTTAAATAAACATCAAAATTAACAAAGATTCTTACTCTTTTTCCCACCTACTGTTTTCAACTGTTTCCTTATCCAACGTTGACATTGCTGTTATCAAAATTTGGCAATGGTAGCCAGGCACCAGTGGCTCATACCTGTAATCCCAGTTACTTAGGAGGCAGAGATCAGGAGGATCATGGTTCAAAGCCAGCCTGAGCAAATAGATCAAGAGACCCTATCTTGAAAAAACTCATCACAAAAAAGGGCTGGTAGAGTGGCTTATGACGTAGACCCTGAGTTCAAGCCCCAGTACCCCACTCCCCCGCCAAAAAAGGCAATGGTCCCAGAATTGGAAAATTACAGTGGCACTTGCATACTGGCTAAAATCCATATTTCTTTGTCTGCATTAATTATTCTGTTATGACCCCATATCCTTATTCTTTAATAATTCCTTCTTCTGCCTTAAACATTGCATTCTTCCCATTAATGGTGGCCAAGTACCATTCTTTTACAACCAATTGTGAACCCTTTTCTTAACAGATGTTATCATGAAGCAGAGCTCTAACCTTGCTGTCCTGAATCCTACATCACCATGCAGGACTGACAACAGCATCCAGTTACATTTGCACAAGTACTTGGGTTCTACCAAATGCTTTCATATTCATTTTCTTCTCATGTGAGCCTCTCAATAACCCAGAGAAGAGTGATTATTCTTCCCATTTTCCAACTCAGGAAACTACAATTCAACAAGGATTGGATGATTCATTCATAGTCAACCAGATAAGTGATAAGAGGCAAGACTCAAGCAGAAAACTTCTATATCTAACCCCAACTTTTCTTCTCAAAACATTTCTGAGAATATACCTAGCTGCCAAGCAAGCCCATAACTCTAATGCAAGTTTACAGGGGCTGCTCTAAGCCATGTAATACATAGCTTTGATCTCTTGCCCATTCTACATAATTACTTTTCCTCTAGTCCCACTCCTAGCCCCAAGCTTTGACACACAAACTCACCCTCTCCCCGCCCCTTCCAACTTTTTACAGATTCCTACTTTTGCTACATTAACCAAATTCTTTTCTTCTGCTTTGAACATGGTCTTGATTCTTCTAAACAGATACCTCCTTCATTCAATGATTTACTCACTCTGGCTCAGAAGTCTCTTAACCACAAAAATCTGTACAAGCACACATTTGTTTACAGTTTCACATCCATGTCCTTTGTCCTTCTTCATTCCTGCCATGCTGAAATGATCTATTTTAGAATACAAGCTCCTGGCCTAAGAAGCTTCTATTTAGCTAGGTATAGGAATCATCCAGCACAATGCCTTACATTCAAAGGTACATAAACATCAACAGTAATGATACTGTCTAAAATGAATTATTCCTGTACTTGATATGAAATAATAAGAGACCAGCTGTAAAAAACACTATGAGCATTATCTACCTCAATTAAATTTCTGAATAGGAATTAGTGTTCAGGGCTGTAAAGTGGATGAAAAGGACACATTTGTTTACCTATGATCCCAAAAATATAACATGAAGTTCTGAGTACTTTGTTACTGGTTTCCCACCACCACCACCAGTCCAGCTGTACTACACAGCAAGGTCAACCTGAGTAAGGGGATTATAGTTACCAGCATTGCCATTGTTAAGAAGGAGATCAACCATTCCAAGTGGATCTGTGTTCTGGGAAAGCACTAGCTGGTTGTATCTTACTTACTGGTTTATCCTTGATGGTAGGGCTTGACACACAAAGGTACAGTTTTCCATCTTCTTCTAGGCAGGCATCTATCAAAGCTTGCACTGAGCTCTCCTCCTGGAATAGCAGAAAGGCATAGCCTTGGGGAGAACAAAAACAAAAGAGTAGAGGAGAAATCAGTAAACTAAACTCAAAATACCAGTCCAAAAATTATTTGTTGCTTCATTTTGACAGATTCTTACTAAAATCTAAGACACTCAAGTGGGACAAAGAGACTTGAGACCTTCCTGTGCCAGGAACTGTGTTAGGTGCTCACAGACTCTGTAAACTGAACTAGTTGGGTGCTCCAACATAACCTCCTTTACTTCTCATAACTACTGAGGGGAGCAAGTTCAGAATACCTCTATAGAATTTCCACAAAATAGGTTTCTTCATGATTAATGAGGACAGACAGACTTTGCCTAGGCCCAGGTCACAACTAGCAGCCAGGAATAAAAGAGCACTTTGTCCTCCGATTTCCACCAAGCAATTGACTTGACATATGCTACAGTGGGAATACATCTTGAAAACAGTATGACAAGTGAAAGAAACCAGACATAAAACATCATGACCAGAAAAAGGCAAATAAAAAAAAAATAAGCCAGGCATGGTACATGCCTGAAATCCCAGCAGTTGGGAGGCTGAGGCAAGAGGATCAGGAGTTCAAGGTCAGCCTGCACTACACAGAAAGAACTTGTCTCAAAAAAAAAAAAAAGTCAGACATAGATTAATGATTGCTTACAACTGAGGGGTTGTGGGTAACAGGCACAGATTTGTTCAATCGTTCATTCATGCATTTAATTTATTTATTTGAAACAGGGTCTTACTATGTTGCCCTGGCTAGTCTTGAACTAATGATCTGCACACCCATCCAACTGGCACAGGGTTTCTTTTTGGGATAACAAAAATGTTCTGAAATTGATTGTGATCAAGGATGCCCACTACCCCCACTCCTATTCAACATAGTACTGGAATTCCTAGCCAGAGCAATTAGGCAAGAAGAAGGAATAAAAGGAATACAAATAGGTAAAGAAACTGTCAAAATATCCCTATTTGCAGACGACATGATCCTATACCTTAAAGACCCAAAAAACTCTACTCAGAAGCTTCTAGACATCATCAATAGCTATAGCAAGGTAGCAGGATATAAAATCAACATAAAAAAATCATTAGCATTTCTATACACTAACAATGAGCAAACTGAAAAAGAATGTATGAAAACAATTCCATTTACAATAGCCTCAAAAAAAATCAAATACCTAGGTGTAAACCTAACAAAGGATGTGAAAGACCTCTACAAGGAAAACTATAAACTTCTGAAGAAAGAGATTGAGGAAGACTATAGAAAATGGAGAGATCTCCCATGCTCATGGATTGGTAGAATCAACATAGTAAAAATGTCTATACTCCCAAAAGTAATCTACATGTTTAATGCAATTCCCATAAAAATTCCAATGACATTCATTAAAGACATTGAAAAATCTACCATTAAATTTATATGGAAACACAAGAGGCCACAAATAGCCAAGGCAATACTCAGTCAAAAGAACAATGCAGAAGGTATCACAATACCTGACTTCAAACTATATTACAAAGCAATAACAATAAAAACAGCATGGTACTGGCACAAAAACAGACATGAAGACCAGTGGAACAGAATAGAGGATCCAGATATGAAGCCACACAACTATAACCAACTTGTCTTTGACAAAGGTGCTAAAAATATACGATGGAGAGATAGCAGCCTCTTCAACAAAAACTGCTGGGAAAACTGGTTAGCAGTCTGCAAAAAACTGAAACTAGATCCATGTATATCACCCTATACCAATATTAACTCAAAATGGATCAAGGATCTTAATATCAGACCACAAACTCTAAAGTTGATACAGGAAAGAGTAGGAAATACTCTGAAGTTAGTAGGTATAGGTAAGAACTTTCTCAACGAAACCCCAGCAGCACAGCAACTAAGAGATAGCATAGATAAATGGGACCTCATAAAGCTAAAAAGCTTCTGTTCATCAAAAGAAATGGTCTCTAAACTGAAGAGAACACCCACAGAGTGGGAGAAAATATTTGCCAACTATACATCAAAGGACTGATAACCAGAATATATAGGGAACTTAAAAAACTAAATTCTCCCAAAACTAATGAACCAATAAAGAAATGGGCAAGTGAACTAAACAGAACTTTCTCAAAAGAAGAAATTCAAATGGCCAAAAAACACATGAAAAAATGCTCACCATCTCTAGCAATAAAGGAAATGCAAATTAAAACCACACTAAGATTCCACCTCACCCCTGTTAGAATAGCCATCATTAGCAACACCACCAACAACAGGTGTTGGTGAGGATGCGGGGAAAAAGGAACCCTCTTACACTGTTGGTGGGAATGTAAACTAGTACAACCACTCTGGAAAAAAATTTGGAGGCTACTTAAAAAGCTAGACATTGATCTACCATTTGATCCAGCAATACCACTCTTGGGATATACCCAAAAGACTGTACACAGGTTACTCCAGAGGCACCTGCACACCCATGTTTATTGCAGCACTATTCACAATAGCCAAGTTATGGAAACAGCCAAGATGCCCCACCACTGACGAATGGATTAAGAAAATGTGGTATCTATACACAATGGAATTTTATGCAGCCATGAAGAAGAACGAAATGTTATCATTCGCTGGTAAATGGATGGAATTGGAGAACATCATTCTGAGTGAGGTTAGCCTGGCCCAAAAGACCAAAAATCGTATGTTCTCCCTCATATGCGGACATTAGATCAAGGGCAAACACAACAAGGGATTGGACTTTGAGCACATGATAAAAGCGAGAGCACACAAGGGAGGGGTGAGGATAGGTAAGACACCTAAAAAATTAGCTAGCATTTGTTGCCCTTAACGCAGAGAAACTAAAGCAGATACCTTAAAAGCAATAGGAAAAGGAGACCAGGAACTAGAGAAAAGGTGAGATCAAAAAGAATTAACCTAGAAGGTAACACACACGCACAGGAAATTAATGCGAGTCAACTCCCTGTATAGCTATCCTTACCTCAACTAGCAAAAACCCTTATTCGTTCCTATTATGGCTTATACTCTCTCTACAACAAAATTAGAAATAAGGGCAAAATAGTTTCTGCTGGGTATTGAGGGGGTGGGGGCAGGGGGGAGAAATGACCCAAGCCTTGTATGCACATATGAATAATAAAATTAAAAAAAAAGAAATTGATTGTGATGATGGTTTTGTACAAGTCTGTGAACATACAGAAAATCATTCAACTGTACATGCTAAATTGGTAAGCTGTATGGTATGTGAATTATACCTCCACAAAGCTGTATTTTCTTTTTTAAAGCCCAGGATCAGATGGGTATGTTTTTACATGTTACTGCTGCTACTACTGCTGTTTCTCTAAGGGATAATCTCCTGGCAGAATATACAATCTAGAAATGTGAACAGTAGTTGCAGGATTTCCATGGATATAGCTTGTTTTTTTTTTTAATGCAATGTTTTTAATTGATACATAACAGCTACACATTTAGCTACACATTTATAGGGTACAAAGTGATAATTTGATACATGTATACAATGCGTAATTATAAAATCCTGGTAATTAGCACTTCCCTCTTTTTAAACATTTATCACTGTGCTACAAAGCCTCAAACTCTTCTAGTTCTTGATCAAGTACATAGGGCTGAGAATGATACTCAGTGATAAACCATGTGGTTAGCATGCCAGAGGCCCTGGGTTCAATCCCTACCACCAAAAATTAGAATAAAATATATAATAAATTATTGTGAACTATAGTCACCCTACTAACATGGCCAGTTTTATTCAGTTCAATTCAATATGATTTACTGAGTAACTGTTACAAGTGTGACACAACCTATGAAGTATGAGAACCCTAAAATGAGCAAAACCAAGTTTCTGCTGTCAAGAGACTTGTGTAGGAGAATAAGCAGGCATTTAGACAATTAACTCCTCACTGCAAAGCTGGGGGAGATGAGTAGAACTCTGACTTGGGAGAAAAGGCAAAGACTTCAAAGAGAACAACAGATGCTCAGGAGACCAACCTGGCACTTGTGGCACACTGGCATTCATGAATGGCAGCTGAGCAAAAGCCCATGTATCTAACCTCTTCATAACACTGATAGCTTTGCAAAACCTCTCATCTGTCGCCTTGACACCAAGTCTAGCTGCTGACCTCAAAGGAAATCATCATCAATACTGTTCTCCTTTGTGCACCATGTGCCAGAACAGTGTAAATGGTCAAGAAAGATAAGAAGCCCTACATACAGAAGATTCTTACACCCCAGACAAAGATGCTGAATTCATAACCAACTGGCTAAGAAACAAAGTTCTCTGGAATCTGGACAGGTAATAACCTGTCACATAATGACAATGGCAGTGAACAATGGCTATTCTTCTTTAGCCTTTTCTCCAACTCTTCACCCACTATCCAGAGCATTCAAGAAAGCACAGCAGGAAAGATCAGAGTGGCCTGGCCAATACAACAGGCAGAGCAGGAGATACCAACACACAGGAGAAGGCACCAAGATGAATGGGTGGGCAGATAGGTGCAAGAAAGAAACTGCTTAGGTATTAGGACCCAGAGCTGTTTTCTGGGCTTTGTTCCCTAGCTGGATGGGTCAAAGAATTCAGTAGGTAGCTAGGCAGGAAAAATAAAACCTAACTGCAAAAGCAGAAAAAAGAATGTATCATTGCTTCATATCCCCTCTCTTTTGCAAACTATATCAAACTATCACCAACTCCTGGGGAATCTATTTAGAAAATCAGTGTTTTCATTTAACATGAGGACATTAACTCTACTTGCCAAAGAGAATATTACAGATGAATATATCTCTAATATCACAAAAGAGAGATCTCAGCAAGTTCCCTCAAACCTGCCTGAGCAGGTTAAATGGTACAGATCTTCTACCAAGGGGATAAGAAGCATATTGGACATCTTACCCTTAGAGGAGAAACTGTCTGTTTATACATTATGCACAAACATATCAGAAAGACCTGGAAGGCCTCCAGGCTGACTGCACATTTCTTCCAAATCACTGCCCACCTTCTGTCATTCTCAGCATCAAATCCAGTTTTGA